TTCTAGAATTTTTTTAATCATGGGTTTTTTTAGTAAATTTTTGCAATATCTTTTTTTTTTTTTTTTTTTTTGTAATATATTTATGTCTAGAAGGTCCGCTCGGTCTTGGGGAAGTAAATAACATTTAAAAGTTTCTATTATTGGGGTTGTTAGACCCTTTAGGTCTTATTTCTATAAATTTTTCAAACTTTAGTTTCTGATCGGCTTATATCATATAAATATTTATCTTGAATGTTGTATTGAAATAAAAATATTTTTTTGCTTCTTTAAAATTTTTTCTGCTTTTGAGATGTAGTACTAATATTCAGAAAATATTGAAAGCAAATTTTATATCATTTTTACTAGTAGAGGTTGTCAATGCTGTGAAACCATCACTTTCTTTATCAATTTTAGTAGCCATACCAAGCTTATAAAGTTTTTTGTATTTACATAATAGGCATTGCGATACCATAACATAGTTGATCAAAACAATTCAAATTCGATCAAATTTTCAGGTAACTCTTTTATCTTCGTGGTTGAAAGAGATAAATGTGCAAATTTATGGAAATTTCTTGGTCCAGTAACAGTGGTCACCATCATATATTTATCAGTAAGTTTGCTTTGTGCTAGCTCCATTTTTTTTGAAATGTTTTTACACATTTTAGAAAAATTAAATTACACAAACATGGTTCCACTGGTTGACTTTTGACAAAATTCAAACATCGCATATAAATGACTGTTTGATGAAAGGAATGCTGCTCCTTGCTCCAATGGTAACTCTAAATTTTGACTTGTAATACAAAAGTGTAATTCTTTGCAAAATCTTGCAGGACTATTGCCTTATCAAGAGTAATTATTCCTTTAAGATGCATAAATGTTTGATTATAATTGTAATAAATAGATGAGAAGTAATTTTATCAATCTTTTCACACAGAAACTCCATAAATTTATTTGATCGAAGCTTTATTGTTAATAAGTCAGTTCTATCTGTTGTTGTCCTCTGTTTGAAATCAATTGTTCCTATAATATATAAATAACTGTTCTTGTTAATCATTTTTTTATCGCTTCATATTGTTATTCAGAATCATTGATTTATACTTTAGTATTAGTCCTAACACCTCTTCTTTTATGAGAGTTTTAAGAGAGAGAGAAAAAAAGAAACTTCAAGAATTAGTCATATTGTGATCTATTGTAATAGAACACAAGTTTTTAATAAGCTTGTTTATTTTTCATAGTTCATCAATTTTGAAAATGGCCAGGTACCAATTTTCAGTCATTTTCTACAACTAGAACCTAAATTATACTTAAGTACCACTCATTTTAAAAAACTATTTATAGTTGAATCAATTTTTTCAATCTTTTTTAATTTTTTTTTTTTTTTTAGGTGCTGCATACTGCCAGTTTTTAGACATGCTCTTTGAAAGTAAGTTTAAATTTTATTTTTATTTTTATACTTTACAACAAATATTAGTATAAATATTTCAAAATCAATGGAATTTTATTGATATAATATAATATGATTTTTTTATACATTATATTTATTTCACTTGATCACGAGTTGAACTATAATAATATCTATAGTTCAATTTATTGACTAAGTGTTAACATTAACTAAAGGTTACTTAAAAGTAACTAGGTTACTTACTTTTAAGCAGCCTTTTTTTTAGTATATATTTTTTTCTGATTATAGTATTATTTATTAAAAAAATTAGGAAACTATTAAATAAATTAGTAAACTAATTGGAAATTATTTAAATTAAATAATAATTAGGAAAGATTAGTTTAAGTACTACCTTAGTTGTGATGTCCAAGTTTTTTTTGTATGTGGATTAATTTAAATGTTCAAATTAGGTTAAATTTTGACTTAATAGGTTGACAATAAAAACACCTGTACAATGAGAACCACAACATACAATTTGACAAAAATTGGTTTCAACTAAAATTCCAGAATTTGATTCCACACCAGACTCTGGAATTTTAGTTGAATTTGTTTAATGGTCAAAGAATTGCAGTTTTAGTCTATATTTTGTTAGTTTTTTGCTACTTAGACCACAAAATGTTCACTATTTTCAAAATAAAGGTTACGTGAGCATTCTATTATGTAATATCAAAACATGCTACATGTTCCATTTTCATTCTATAGACAAAAATATTGATTTGCTATTTGAAGTGTAATTTAAATTGGTTTAATTATCTCAACATTTCCTAAATTTAAACTACTGCCAAAATGCTGAAAAAATGTGAAAAACCTGGCAAAAGGACTATCAGTTGGTAAAATAAAATAAAAAAAAAACGTTTCTGTTAAAAGAATTTTTATTGGCCCTTGAAACCTTCTTAAATACATTGACTTTTAAAATAAAGTGTAAAAAAATAACTATATAAACCCTTTTTTGCATTATATTACCATCAAATAGCATCAAATTAAATTGTAAAACATGGCCTTTGATTTTCTGCACAAGAAATTTATTCAAAATAGCTTAATATACTCTTTTAGTCAAATACTTTTAAATATTTTTACATAAAATATTTAAACTCATAATTACTAACATCATTAAAATTTATAATTACTAACATCGTTTAAGAATTAAAATCGTAAAATGTTTATTATAAACCATAAGCTTTGATTTTCTGCTGCATAATCTAATAAATTAGTGTAGCAGTTCTTTAGAGATTGTTACTGTTCAGATCATTTATGCACCATAAAAGTCTTTCTTTATACTCTGGATGACTATTTCGTTTATACCTTGACCAATGTTTGTAAAAGTCTTGAGCAGTTTGGACTAAATTGAAACTTGTGAATGCTTCAATTATTTGAGAAATGTTTCACTACATTTGAACATTCAAATTAAATTATTTTCCACGGACAAAATTTAAAGATTTCAAAATTTGCATTACAGGATACCTTGATGTGTACGAGAGGGAGTTACTCAAAAATGTACAAATGAGTACATTTGGTGGGGTTTGTGTTTAAGACAGCAAGTATGTATGCAGATTGATCTCTTGTTCTCTATTTCTCCTAAAACTGGAATTCTTTTTTATTCAACAAAAACATTGAATTTGCTGCGCTTTACTGTATACATACTTTATGTATGCCCCCTAATGAGGTTTTATCAAAAAACCTGATTATTTCATTTTAAAGCATCTGACATGGGTAATGTGCTTTTGGAGGTAATATTTGACATCAAAAACTTTCTTTTAAATAGTTAAAATTATAAATTAGTGTAATAAAATATAAATTAAATGTATATATGATTATTCTTATAACAATTTTATGAATTAGAATAATTACTTACGAAAGAATTTATAAATCTTGTACAATTTAATTTTGTGTTTAAAAATAAAAAGTACTTTAGTGTTTTTTAAAAAACAACAGAAAGTATATTCTTTGTTTAATTAAAATTTCATTTTGTTTAAAGTCTCTAGTTGCGTCATAATATGAATTATTTGTACACTTTTTTATAACCACTGCTGAACACAACTAGTTCATGCTAAGAAAAAAAAAATATTTCAAATATTTGTTTTTTTCAAACAAATATATTTACTTAAATATTTTTTAATAATTTAATAATTTTTTTAATAATTTTTTCTCAAAAAAAAAAAAATCAAAACAAATGTAGATTCTTACCTTCTTGTTTTCCTGATTTATATAATTTGCAATCTTTTAATTTGTCTGTTAATCATTATCTTGCTTTATAAACTTCATCTTTTCTCTTACAGTAACTTCCAACTCTAATAGTGGTCGCTTGCAGTTTTGCAAGCTCTAAGTTTTGCTTGCCAAAACTTTAACCATCAGTCAATGAATGTACACTCCACTGTGCTTACCCCTATTTAAGTCTGTCAATCTATGACACTTCACTGTAACTACGGCTATATCAGTTGATTAATAGTTATAGAATAAGTGCATTGATGCACTTACTCTATGAAACTTTAAAAAATAAACGATAAACATTACTATAAATAAACAACAATAATGATTGAAAAAAATATAAAACTACTTCTAAATAAAAAAAATTTTTTTAATAATAAAACCTTTTTTTTACAAAAACTTAAATTTTATTAAAAAAAAGATTTTTTCAGGATATTTTTTAAAAATATTTTCTGGATTATTTCCAGAAAAAATTTTTTCATAAAATTTTAAAAAAAAATTTGACCCAGATAATCAATGAGTTTATTAAAAATCATTCAAGATAAAATAAATCTAATATAATTATGTTCCATAGTTATGAAATAATACTTTGTAAAGTGATTCTAAAATTAAGTTGTGATTTAAAAGTTGCGCTGTTGTTTTTTCTTTTTTTCTTTTTGTTTACTTAAAATAAAATTGTAAAAAAAATTAAAATTTTTTTTGTTTTATGAGCGCTTTTTTTGCCCACATATACTGACTCACACTTAAATAAAATCAGTTACAAATGTTAAATGTATGTATGATGTAACTAGTTAAGATTAAAGTGCTTCAAAATTTGTTTTTAGATTGTATTCCAATTAAAAAAGTCAAATTTCAAGCCAAATTGGAACATGAGTATATTCAAAATTGGAAATTGCTTCAAACAGGTTTTAAAAAAGTTGGAGTTGATAAGGTTTCATATACATTTCAATTATAAAATTGTTTTATATTTATATTTTTTCAAATTTTTTAAATGATTTTTATTACAATTAAATGGTTGTTTAATTACTTGAAATATATAATAAATAACTAAATTATTTTATTGTATAATTTTATTGTTGCATGAAGTTGTTTTATTTTACAATTGCATTGCTGCATGGAATTATTTCATTAGTAGCTTTTTCAACCACAAAAGTTTTTAAATTTCTTTTCAAAGCAGTTTTTCACCCACAAAAGTTTCTAAATTCTTTTTCAATGTTTTTCAAACATTATTTTAACATCTTATCAGAATATTTCTTAAATCTTTTCATATAACTGTAATAGTTTTAATGTTTTTGATTATTACACCACTATATTTCAAAAATGTTATAATATATTTTTTAGGTAAACAAAAAAATAATAACAGTCATTCAATAAGTTATTTTAAACATTACTTAGATATTTAAGGACTTATATTAGGGTTCCCAATTATCTGACATTAATGACTATCAGGATATCGAATACAGAAAGTCAAATTTTTCTGGATATCTGAATAACAAATACGAAAATAAAAATAATAGATAAAATTTTCAACTTACTTGACCTCATTGTGTCTAGTATTTTTAATGTTACTCTTAGATGTATGAATCCTTTTAAATATTTTTACTGCTAAAGCAATGGCAGCATTTTGATGTATAATGAAAATATTAAAATATGGAATATTGCTTGTTTCTTAGAAAATTAATAATATCATAAGGATTTTATTTCAATGTTCATTTGTTTGCTTTTTTATATATTTCATTAAGTTTTTACTTAAACTAATTTTTATATATTTCATTAAGTTTTTACTTAAACTTTTAAAATGCGGTAGTGGTGTAGTGGTAGAGCGCTCGCTTCATAAACAAGTGGTTTCGAGTTTGATCTCCACCACGTCCCTGGTAGTACCGCGCTGAACTCATTTCTCCGCACAGCGGCCTTGTTTGTCAAGGTTTGTGTTTCGGAGTTATAGAGTTGAGAGAGGGTTATAGCCACAAATAAGTAGCCTCCTCATCTGTATTGGCCTTCTCGGCCTTGAGAAGGTGAATTAGAATTAAAAAAAAAAACTTGTTTGTAGCTGATTTAAGCTTTCAAAAATAGATTTATAAACACCTTTTGATTTTTTTTTTAAAGATATTTAAAAGTTCTTTTTAAGTTGATATTTGCTCCTCTAAAATTATTTGTTGCCCTATTTCATTTAAAGTTTTATTTATATAGGATCCTTTATTTGAAGGTATCGTTTTGATTCCTTCAAGTAAGAACATCATTATCAATGGGTTCCACCAAGTTCTGACATCTAACATCAACTGCAATGTCTTGCACTTGTTTATTTACATATCCATGTAAAATGTTGTTGACTAAAATGTGAATGACTGAAGAGGATGATATCATTCCTATAATTCTTCTTAGGTTTTTATAACTTATTAATAATCTTTTATGAGATCTAAGATTTTGATGTCTTCTACACTTTTGTAAGACTAATAGTTTTCTGGATCACAAGCTGTAAAAGAGAGTATGTTGCAATTAAGAGTGTACTGTAATTAAAAGTATGTCCTATAGATTCACGAGTCTAATTAGAGGTAATCTTTGCAAAGAAGTTGGGTAAAATACTGGAGGATAAAAGTTGGTGCATAATTAAAAATGGCGAAGCATATTACAAGGTGGATTTTCACAACTTCGTGGTCAACAGTTTTACTATAAGAACAATGATCAATTTAAATAAATTCAACAAGAAAAATTTGCATCCTAATTTCTTGTGTGACAAATAATTTGTAGCTGAGGTATGCAATCCTCTTGCTTTGTCACTAAGAAGAGCTTGAATGCCAAGCTCTACATCAAAGAATGCCTCCAAAAACAATATTTATTTTTGCCATTTATGAAAAAATACAAATACTGATGTCTCCATTGATCCAATCTTGCTGCTCACTATTCTAAAAACGTTCTACAGTGGTGCAAAAATAATAATGTGAAAAGACGCAAATCCTCCAAATCATCCTCAATAGCGCGAGATTAAAGATTTAATGTAATCAACTTGTCTTGGCTTTAGTAAATGATTTTTGTTTTGAAATCCATTTATGAACTAAAATAAATCATTTTTAACTATAGACACCAGGTGAAGGTAAGCCAGAGCCGTCTATCAAAAAAATTTGCAAGCCACAAAACTTGCTGTACACATTTGCAGGCCACAAAACTTGCTGTTCCTATATTGTGAAGCCTTGCACTAGCTGTCTCTTCCTTAAGTGTCTTAGTAATAGAAAGAGAGAAATATTTCTTATATTGTCGAACCAAGACATTCTCGACTGCATTAAGACAAGCAGAAGTCATTTTTATCAGATGCTCATCAATGGAACATATTTCGGAGCAGCTTTTTCCTAAAAAAATCTGTATTTCTACAAAATAATGGAGCAGGATTAGATTTGCAATTAGTAATTTTTTTTTAAACATCTTTTACTACCTGAATGCCAGTGACATGATCAAAACTATCATCCTCAGCTGATGCGTAAAACTTTGTCATCCATGGTCCAGTTAGAAGTTTTCCAAATAGTGCCAGCACATCCATTTGTTTAATGGCTGTTGCGTTACAAAAAGCTACTCTAAGAAGTGCTTGTAACCTAGAGCATTTTACTTTCAAGTCAGATAATGTAGTGAATCATTATAATGCTGCATTAAAGTAAAACAAGTATAAAAGAATGTGAAGATGGTTTCTGGTTTTCTGCGATATCTTGGAATAATACTGCATGGCAGTTTGTTATTATCTAAAAAATTTACTTCATTTTGTTTATAGTTAAAACAATTTTGACTGCCATACAATTGTTGCCAAATAATCTACATTTTTTCAATTCTAAAGTTTTCAAGGCTTCACAGCATGAAATTGCATTTGTGTCTAGAGGGTACAAATGTTTAGCTTGTTCAGATTCTTACCCATTGTATCACATATTTTGGTTATGGTAAGATGATTTACTGACACTCTGTCAAACATTGTCTTAGATATATTTGAAATTATCAAACTATGACATTCGTTATAGGGAAGCAAGTGAAAATCTGAATAAATCTTTGGCCCAGGATGCTAACGACGGTAGTTAAGATATGCCTGATATGTTAAATCTAAATGCAAAGAAATAATAAACATTTATATTAGTTAAGATTTGAAAGCATTATGAAACATTTTATATAAATCCTTACATAAAAAAAATTAAAAACTTTTATTAAGAACATGTTTATTTAAAATAAGAATATTTTTATAAAATATAAATAAGCATTAAAGTTTTTCAAAAACAAAGAATAATTGTAAATAAATATTTCAATTTATACAGGAACCTGGAGAAGATTGTGCTGCAGGAACTAAAAGTTAAAAGAAATGTAAACAATAATAAAATAAAATTGGGATTAAATCTACAATATTTTAATGAGATAGAATATGCACTGCTAATAAAGAAATAGTTATTTAACTTACCAACCATAGCAGATGTAGATGAAGCTAAAAATCAAAAAAAAAAGTGTAATAAACAAAATAAATGACTTTTTTGGGAAAATCGAAACACTGCTGAAAAATAATTAGTTTTTAAACTTACTATTTGTGACAGATGTAGATGTAACTAAAGGCAAAAAAGGATGTAATCAACCAAAAAATATTTGATTTAGGCATTAAATCAATACAGAGATTAAAAAGTAATAGCTTTTAAACTTAGCAACTGTGGCAGATATAGATTAAAAAGATGTAACCAAGAAAAAAAGTATGAGAAATTGACATTAGATCTATACACAGTGAACAAAGAAATAGCTTTTAAACTTACCAACTGTGGCAGATGTTGATGAAACTAAAAGTAATAAAAAAAACTGTAATCAATAAGAAAATTGAATTTGATATTAAATATATAGTATAGCCATAATGAAAGAAATGACATCGACATCCACAGCAGATGTCTCTTAATGTAGAAAAGGTGTAATTATCAGAAAAAACAACAACAATTGATCAATTAATGAAAAATATTTAGATTTTTCCATCTATACATAAATTAAGAAGTAATAATTTTTAAACTTACCAACTGTGGAGGATGTAGATGCAATAAACAAACAAAAAAAGTTGAAAATGGAATTAAATCAATACACTGCTGAAAAAGAATTGACTTTTAATCTTACCAAGTGTATCAGATGTAGATGGAACTAAAAACAAAATTTCACAAGTTAAAAAATAATAGCTTTTAAATTTACTAATCACAGTCGTTTAAGAAATGACTTGAGATAAAAAAACATATGAATTAAACCAAAGCATACATCATTTAAATTTCTACTTATAAACATGACCGAAATTACAATATACAAACTTAACAATGGAAGGCTGAATTAATTGGACTAAAATTAACAAGAAAACTGTCTATCAAAATAAACAAAACACCTTAAATTTGACAACAGTAAGTGAATAAGTAACAACAATCAAATAAGTTCTGCATAATGTACAACTACTTTATTGACTAAGTTAATAATGAAAACATAATTACACAAGTAAACATGAAGAAAGGTTGTAAAATGATTTAAACAATAAAAAAAAATAAAGTATTCTACAACAAGTAAATGTTAAAAGACAATAAAAATGATATCTTTAGTATTAAAATACTTTTAAGGCGTCAACAAGTTTATTTTGTTATGAACAACACCAAAAATTATATTGTTCATGTCATCCCTATATGTCACTATCATCTATCATATCACTATACATCACTATTATATCTATACATCACTATCATATCTATACACCTATACATCACTATCATATCTTATCTATACACTATACATTACTATCACTATCATACATCGCTTACGGAATCTCAAAAACTGATGAAATAATAAGCCTGCGTCTAAATAAGAAGGAAACATTAGAAATGTTTAAGTAATGATTTAGACAATAATCAAAAGAAGGTATTATACAACTGATAAATCATAAAAGATTAATATACTAACTGAACTCAATGTAGATAGATAAAGCTAAAGGTAAAATAGATGTAAAGAACAAAAAATACATAGTTGTTTAAAAAAAAAAAGTTTTCAATTTTACCAACCATAGCAGTTGGTGACAAAGCTAAAGGTAAAAAAGTTAACCAAAATAACTTTGATTTTGGCATTAACTCTATACAGAATTTAAAAAAAAAAAAAATTTTTTTAAACTTTTTTATTTGATGACAGCTTTAAAATAGGTGTAAAATAAAATAAAAAAAGGTAATAAACTTAAAGTATAGCTTTAAAGAATAAGAGTAGAAACACCAAATAAAAAAATACTTATTTAACTTACTAACTGCATCAGATGATGATGAAGCTAAAGTTAAAAAAGGTGTAATATAAAAAAACAAAAAAAAAAACACTTGGCAACAAATCCAATAAAACAATTTTGTAATGAACAAAGAAAAGTAATGGTGTAAATGACAAATGAAATAAAGGCGTAAATACCGAAAATTAGGTGTTACTTAAAAAAAAGACTTAAATAGGTTTAATATAGTCAATGATTTTTAAAAGTTTAACAAAAATTACACTTGTAAAAGTAATAAACAATAGAATTATTATGAAAAAATATATGAACCTACTATCTGTTTGATTACAAAGTTAATTTATATAATTAATTTTTTAAATTACTAACAATCTAAGTGAAAAAATATGCAATAAATATTTTTAAAGAAAAAAAAACACTATCTCCCCCAGCCCCACCTCGGCTATTTTTGAAAACAGAAATTAGGTACCAAATATGTTTAACTGATTTAACTAACTGCTGCATAATATTTTTTCATGAAATTTGGCAGGTGCAAAATAAATGCATGTAGAAACTTATCTGAAAAATCAAAAAAGCGTAATAAAGATTCTTTCGACAATAATTTAACAAGTAAATATAAACGTAATTTTCATGAGCAAAATACTCAAAAAAAAGGTATGACAACCATATAAAAAGCTAACAAAAAACAAGCTTAACTCTTCTTCTTTCCGAAAATATACAATGTGTATTTTTTTTTTTTTTTTTCAACAACAACAAGATATTTATTTTCCTTTTCAAAATTTACATATAATCATATAATATCAATAATAATAATATTATCTATAATAATACAAACAATATAATTATAATAAAATATAACTAATAAGAATAAATATAAATAGTTATTTGAAAAGAAAGGTGTCACTCAAACAGAAGCCTGATCAAAGGAGTGACATTAAATAATTATAACAATAATAATTAAAAAATAATTATATTATCTATAATGATACAAACAATATAATTGTAATAAAATATAACTAATGAGAATAAATATAAATAATTATTTGAAAAGGAAGGTGTCACTCAAACAGAAGCCTGATCAAAGGAGTGACACCAAATAATTATAACAATAATAGTTAAAAATAATAATATTATCTATAATAATACAAAAAATATGATGACATAAGTGTCATTCATGATCAAAATAAGTGACACCAATTAATTATAACAATTAATATAATAATAAAAATAATAAATATGAACCAAAAATCGCTAAGAAAATAAATAAAATAAGCGTTTAGTTGTTGTAAATAATTTAAGCGTTTAGTTGTTGCGATATTTAAATCTTTTTTATTTTATTTTTATCATTATTTTAATGTAATGTTTTGTTTCATAGATCATTCCTGTGGATAAGTTAGTAAAAGGAAAATTTCAAGATAATTTTGAGTTTTTGCAATGGTTCAAGAAATTTTTTGATGCAAATTACGGAGGTCAAGAGTATGATGCTTTAGCTGTTCGAGGAGGTGTAATGCCTAATCCAACTGGTGGTTCAACTGGAATTGCAGTTAAAAAACCAACTCAACCAGCAGCAGTTGTTAACAAACAGCCTCTTAGTAATAAACCAGTCGCTATTGCACAGAAGTTACCATCAGCTGCCACACAAAAAAAAGCTTCACCCGTTCCACAGAAATCTGCATCAAACATTTCCAAACCAAACATTAAAGCTCCTGTTAACCAACATGAAATTGAGAATCTTACTATTGAAGTAATTTTGTTTTTTATTTAACTTTTTGTATTTAACTTTTTTTTTTTGCACTTTATACCTTGCGATTTTCTTACTTTCCTTTCCTCTTTGTATGATTATTTATCTTATGAACATTGAACTTATTTTAACTACTTTTTGTTTGATGTGTTGCATTTTCTTAAACTTTTCATAAACAGTTTTTTTTTTTTAATGAAAATCAATTCAGAGAGAGGAAAAATTAAAAAAAAAAAAAAATCTGAAGATATATAAGGATTATAAGAATAACATGTGTCATTTAATGTAAAACTTATCAAAGACGAAAATGGAAAAAGTTTATTATCGACACTGATCATTTTTTAGTTATAGGATAAATCAGTTAGGTGTAAATTGAAGCAGTATATCATTTTATGTTATTTACTAATTGTTCAAAAGCTTTGTTCCTTAATCGAGTTCTTTAATGTTTTTAATGTAATGCTCTCTGCGATGTTTTTAATGTAATGCTCTCTGCGCCAAGTTTCTTGTTTCTAATATTTATTCTTTTAGTCTTTTTTTTTTTTATAGTTAAGTGAACTTCGAACCAACGTGGAAGGTTTAGAAAAAGAACGAGATTTTTACTTTGGAAAGCTCAGGGATATTGAAGTAATATGTCAAGAACCGGAAAATGCCGGTTTGGAACTAAGCGAGCGAGTTTTACAAATTCTATACGCTACCGAAGTAAGTTGTTTTAAAAGATAAAAGTATATCCTATTTTTGTTTTACTCATTAATTTTTTTAATTTTGTTGATGTTTTCTGTTGTAGGAAGGATTTGCGCCTCCTGATGAACTCGAAAATGGAGAAGAAATTTCTGGAGAGGCTGATGAATATTAATATAATTTATTTTTTCATTGGTAAAATCACGCAAAGTATTTTTGCTCCCGAAATGGTACAAAATATCACTAGTGATTTGTTTACGTTCTGTAATTTATTAAGGCGCTTAGCGCCTCGTGTCGGGCGCTTCTTGAGAAATAAAAGCGATTGCTTGAACGTCCGCACTTTGTCAGTTGCTATAAAATTGTGGGGTAAACAGTCTTTAATTGTCTTTTTGCTCTGAGTTTTGTTATACATAATGTAGTTAAACAATTTGTTGAATAAATTTTAGTTGATTATGCTTTTCTTTTCCTATTTTCGAATTCTCTCAGTCCCATAACAATTTTCAAAAACCGTTTATTTATGTTGTTTAAACATAATTTATCTCTTTCTAATGTATCATTTTTTTATTACACTATATTAAAAATATTTTGTTTAATATGGTTTGTTACTTTAGGTAGATATTTACTGTTAAAAACTAAATAGATTTTGTTTTTCGAAGTAAAAATATTTTTTTAAATTACTATTGGTAAAGATTTGTTTTAGTTACTCTCGGTATAGGTAAGTTGCTATTGATAAAAAAATTTCTTAGTTACTCGAGTTATATATCAGTTGGTATTAGTAAATATTTGGCTAAGTTATTACTAGGTAAAGGTTTGTTTTGGTTACTCGAGTTAAATATCAGTTGCTATTAGTGAGTATTTGTTTCAGTTATTTTAGGTAAAGATTTGTTTTAGTTACTCGAGGTAAAGATTTTTTTCAACATTCTTATTATTTATAATCTTAAAGATTTTTTATCAATTACTCCAGAAAAAGTTTTTTTTATTTTTCTAGGTGAAACTCCTTGATCGACTTGATAACGGTTTTTATTCCGGTCTACTTTACAATTTAATTGTGACAACTTTGAAGTCTATAAACAGAAAAGTTTCAAATTCCAGCCAAACACGATTATCTGGCATTAGGCATGGGTCTCGAAGTATATACATTAGGGAATATTCAGAAGTTGGGTCATAGAAAAATTTTCACTAACAAATAAGTTAGTTTTTTCGGAATGTAATAAAGAAATTCAAAACGTTTTTTGCTTTTGTTTTTTTAATTATTTTTTTACCTTGCGTCGGTCTCATCAAGTTTTCAAAAAAAAACGTTTTTTTTTTTAAGTTGCATAGTATACCGGTTAGTAAAAAGGTTGTTGATTGCAAAGCCATTGTTGGTTCTGAAAATCGCCTTTTTAAATCCTTTCAAAATGTTGATGCTAAAAAGTTGCCAGCTGAACAGATTCGAATGGAAGTCTGTGGAGCTTGACTAAGAGCTCAAGTCATTGATGCTAAGAACCAACCTATGATGATAGTATAAACCGAAGCTTTTAAAAACTCAGAGATTAGTTTAAAACAATTGTAAACAAACACTTACTAAAACACTAAATAATTGTTTTTAATTGCATTTTTCTTATTACAGAATATCATCTGAATTTAGGGTAAACATCCAATAAAATAATTATTTTAGACTAATAAGAGGAGAGATGACTACCATGAGTTGGCAAACTTATGTCTTATATACCTAAAATCTAGCTTGATATACAAGTTTAAGAAACTTTGTGCTATGCTTTCATCACCAGGATGAAAAAGTTAATCTTCTATGCACCCAAGTTTTTGACTAACGAGAAGCCAGATATTTCACCACTACAGTTATTTAAACTAAACATAAATACTGTATATTAATTTAAATTGACTATTACTAAAATTCATGCATTAAAAACTAAAGATTTATGAAAATACAGAAATATTTTTATCAGAACTTGAATTCTATCTCTATGTCCAAATATATTGAGAATGGACCTGCTGTGTTTAGGTGATGGTGAAACTATAGCTGGTACCAGGATATGTTACCATTTTACTAAAAAACTCAGACGCTTCGATCACTAAATAAGAAAAGGAGAGAGTAACCATAATGGACAGATGGATAGATATAATATTAAAGGTTTCTTACCTGTTATAAAAACATGTCTGCACTTGGACAAGTGGCAAGAACTGGTTGGCTGTATCACTGCCAAATTATTGCTAGTTTTTTACATTTTTGGTCATGACAACACCAAGTCCGAATGGATGATTTATCCACCTAGCTCCTAGAATATTGACTATTGATTATTTATAGTTCCAATCGTAGGTCAGATAATCAGCCGCTTACCGCAAATGACCTGCGCAGAAGAAAAAAAACTGGCGACTGTCTGCTAATAACAGCTAGTTAATTTTTTGTTTGTTGCCCTTTGTAATTTTTATTATACTTTTTACCATAATTTGTTTATTATAGTCTTTAAAAAAGATTAACTGGAATGGTCCACCACCACCTCTTTTAGTTCAGGGTGTTATTCGAAATACACTGTTGATTATAATGCTTTTATTACTTAGGCGTACATAAAAAAATCAGAGCTCAATCTTCGTCAGAAGACACTCCGCCAGAAAAATCTGGCGGAGTGTCTTCTTTCCATGTTGTATGTACGTTTTTTAAGATACCAAATACTAAACAGCGTAGTCCAATAAACAAGATACTAAACAGCATACTAAACAAGATTAATAAACAAGATACTAAACAATAAACAAGATACTAAACAGCATAAATACTAAACAAGATTCCACTAAATTTGATTTCCACACAAAGTTCATTGACGTGGAAATTTTCCACACCAATGAAATTTGTTTGGTAATCAAATTACAGGTCTTATTACAGCCCTGTAACCATTGTGGACACTTTTTACCAGTTGTAATCAATCAATCAATCAATGAAATCCAGATTTTTCTGGCGGAGTTACTTTGGAAATAGAATAGGAACAGTATAACAACATTAGAAGGTAAATAAGTAAATTTTAGTAATGCAGATTTTAGTAGTGGTAGCTTATGTCGTTGTGCATAAAATACTTATGTATGTGTCTACCATCATGTAATTCTGCCTATAAAAGTTTTGTCCAAAGAAGCAGCAGAGACAAGAAAACAACTTTTTCGACAACATAGACAGCATTACAACAGAAAATATTCCAGAGTTAGCTGTAATCATTTAAACTAGGGATGTACCGAAGCTGAAATTTTGCCGAAGCCGAAGCTTCGGCCGAAGCCACAACTTTTGAAAAAGTTGTTTTCACAACGAAGAAAACAACTTTTTCGACAACATAGACAGCATTACAACAGAAAATATTCCAGAGTTAGCTGTAATCATTTAAACTAGGGATGTACCGAAGCTGAAATTTTGCCGAAGCCGAAGCTTCGGCCGAAGCCACTTTGCCGAAGCCGAAGCTTCGGCACTATATATGCTTAAAATTTAATCAGCATTCAGATCAGCAGGGGTGTAAAACAAAAAAGGTACCAAAACTAAGGTCCTTGACTAATAATATAGAAAAATTGTATAAAAATGAGGACGCCAGTCAGGGTTGCTGTTCCAGGCATGGCAAAAGCTCTCAGCGCCCCTGTTTAAAAGTTTCTCATTATGTCGTTTCTGATACTTGACCGCATCGAGCGTTTTTTTTTTAAACTTAAGCTTTTTTGAAACATTCTCCCCAAATTTTCCTACTTCTAGTTCTACTTTTTCTGTGTGCAAACCATATTAATGTTATATAGCATTTTTTCATGTGCTGTATATTTTATTTTTATTTTTAATGCACCTTTTGTTAAATAGAAGTGGATAAAAATCTCTGAACATTACTAGAGTAAAATTATCTTTTGCACTTGATCACTCTTTCTTTAAATAAACACTCTTAACTGATCTAGTTGTATCTACAACATAAAAATTCTTAAAAACACACTTTATCTTTTTATTGCTATTTATTTCAATATCTTTTTTTTACTTCTCTGTATTCTTTAAACGAACAATTTCTAAACTAAAAAAAACCCAAGTTAAGACCATTTTGGATTCCACTACAACTGTTGTGCTCCTGCTGTTAAAAAAAAGTACAAATGATAGATTTCTCTCTAACTTCTTTTTTACACACTTTTAAGTATTTTTTTTTTTGATTATTTTCAACTTAACACTACATAACATTTTCTATAGCTTTTTTTAATCTTTTATACTTTGAAATCTTAGTATTCATTCTTCTTCTGTCTCTATAATGGATAAATCTGCATCAGTATCTGAAATCAAATATTAACTATCTGTGATAAAAACTTCCAAAGTAATCTAACAACTCTGTAGAGTGAGCTTTAAATAAAATAATAAATAGAATACTTTATAAATTTTTTGTTAGTAATTATATTATTATTTACTTTATATTTATAAATAAACAGGGACTGAGCAGGCTGACATTTATTTGATTTAAATTGTTTATTTAATTTAAATAAATTTTGATGATAAATATAAGAGTTCAAAGTAATCAAAGCTTCAACCTTTAATTTATTTTAAATAAAATTTAAAAGTCTTCATAATATCATAAGAAGAAACCAGAATATTGGTTTATATGTTTAATATATAAATTCAATTTAGAAGTATTCATAATATTAATAAAAGAGCAAGGATAGTTATTATCATTGTTTTTCTTTTTCTTTTAATTTATCTAGTTTTTGTTGGCTTTTTATTTTCTTTTTTTATTCTCCTCGTTTATATTTCATTTGCTTTTCTTCCTTTTTTGTTGTTAAGAACTTTTTGTTTTTTATGTGTCACTCCATTGACTATTTTGTATCTATATAAGTGACACCTAACCAATTTCTGTAAATTTACGATGAAAATTTGTAAATTTTTATTAATATAGTTAAATAAAATTTTAAAAAATTAAACATACACACAATTTAAAATAGTAGCAACGTATCTTTAATCTTCTTTAAAGAGAGATTACTAAGGTTTATCGGTCAAATGTTGAAACCAAATTTTGTTCTATTTGCGGTAATCCCACACAATAATTAATATGAATTCGTTATTAAGGTTTTAAAAACTTTTAATTTGTTTTAAATTATAAGATTTTTATTCTGCATAGAAATGCTGCTTCAGTTCATCTAAAGTTACACTTGGAAGCTTTCAAAGTGTTTGAGGACCTTCCTTAATTTTATTATTTTTTTCAAAATATTTTTACTTATTTATTATTATCCCCTCCATAACAAGACACTTGGGAGTAAATAATACTAAGTATATGGTATAGACTCCAACTTTAACTCTGTAGTCCTAAATTTATAACTTTATTAGACACTGGCAATTAGCTTATTTTTATAACTTGTCCCACAGTAGCTTATAACTTTAATTACTTAAAATTTTTTGCCGAAGCCAAAGATTCGGCAAAAAATTGACCTGGCTTCGGCCGAACCGAAGCTTCGGCGAAATTGCCGAAGCTTCGGCACGCCGAAGCCGAAGCTTCGGTACATCCCTAATTTAAACCAAATCTGAGTTAAGAATTGGCGAAGATAACTTTTAACTTTAATTTAAATGAACAAGTTCAGACCATGTGTTAAATTTAACTAAATGATGAATTATTTACATCAAAATTTGACCAAAAAATAAATTTCTATTTTTACATACTATGCTTTGAATAATATTTACAGAATTCAAAGTCAGGCTCGGACTAGCCAGTGAGGTTGGGGGAAATTCCCCCCTCCGGGCCCATACCATGTCTGAATGTCCTGGGCCTCACTATAAATCAAGATGTACAAGTTAAACGCACAAAACTTCAAATTAATAATAAATATTGTTTATATACATCAATTTCGTAAAGACAACAAAATAAATATACTTTATTTCTACTATTAAAATATGAATTATTAACGAATAAAATATGAAATATTTTATATAATATACAAAAACATCATAAAGCAACCATTATTATTATCAGTATATCATTATTTATTAGTGGTAGAATAAATTACCTAATTAGGCTAGAAGTTTTATTATTCAAAATATTATTATTTCTTAGTAAACATTAATTTCGTGTTTTTAAATTTATAAAAAGTGTATAGTGAAATACAATCGGAGTTCAGCTTTAAATGCGGTAAAACGAGTTAATCTAAATGTCTCATTTTTCAAGAAAAAAATACTTTTAGAATTTTTTTTTATATATAATTAATTCGTATATATAATTAATTCGTCTACTATGGGAATGAACTACTTTCTATAAGTCTAAAAAGAATAAAACATTAATTAAAATAAAATGTGGTGTACCACAGGGTTCTATCCTTGGTCCACTCCTTTTCTTAGTATATATCAATGATTTAAATAGAGCTTCCGATTTTATGAGCATCAAGTTTGCTGACGATACCAATCTATTTTTATCAGACATTAACAAACTTTGTTTTAAATATAAATAGAGATATATATGCAGAGACTTCCGGAATGGCGGACGCTTTTTTATAACGAACTTTATAAACAAATTTAAAAAAAAAAGAAAGATAAAGAAAAAGAATAAAACAAGATAAATAAACAAAATAAAAATATAGAGAATGAAGAAAAGAAATAAAAAAAAAAAAAAAAAAAAAAAATTAAACAAAATTAACAAAAGAAAAAAGAAACGAGAAAAAGACAAAAACCAAAGTTAAAAGAAAAAAAACATTCGAAAATATTTTTTAAATTGTATTATTTTTGAGTGATGATGTGTGTTTGCTTGATATGATTTACTTTTTAATTTTAATATTGTCGTTTATTATAAAAACTCTATACTTTTCGTGACTAAATATTTGTGTGTGACATGTTTTTATTTGTGAGTATTATTGAATAATTTTTGTTTCGTTTATTTATTGTCATTTTTTTAATGAAGTATTTATTTTATTTTTATTGTTTTTTTATTATTATTGATATTAAGACTATTATATTTATTAAATCATTGTTACTTTTTTTTGCATTAATTGTTTTAGTTACATGGTAGGTTGTTACGTTTTGTCAGTACATAACTGCTTGTAACTTTCCTGTTTTGTCAGTACATAACTGTTTGTAAATTTCCTAAAAAAAAAACACGTTTTTGATTAAGTTTTTGTATAATTTATTTAATAATTGATAAATATTTTTTTTATTTGAAGCAGTAACTGGGGTTTTAACAGTTATAAATTGAATATACTGTCAAATGAGAAACATTATATCTACCCCATTGTAGTGTGACAAATTAAAATACTTTATAATCGAAACTGGGTTGATTATATTATTAAATTTGTGGATAATAAGATATTATTTTATATAAAATATTATAATATAAGATATTATTTTATATAAAATAATTTCTTGTATAAACTATATTACAATATAAACTTTAGTTCAAAGCTTTAATTATTATATATCAGATTATCGTAATTTAAAAAAATTAGATAAAGAGATGCGAAAAATTGTATTTACGTAAATAAGTTATACCTAAACAAGGTGTACCTTGTAACAATAATGCTGTGTGAAATGAGACTATAGCTCAAGATGGCGTCGTCTCGTATCACTTTATTTCAAATCCAATCATTTGCGATAGTTTTTAAAGCTCTGAAAGGAGTGTATTTGCAAAGCCCTATTTTACCCAAATACCCCGTTTTACTCCAGTTTCCCCTAATATGCGCATGCATTTCATTCAGTATATGAACCTGTAAGTATTAAGCTTTAGAAACTTGATACAAGTTATAATTTTCTAAAATTTATCATTGTATTGAAGGATATAATTTAATTGTAAACAGGTCTCCATGGTATCTTGTTAGAAATTAAAAATTGCTAAAATTTAAAATGTTTTTGATTTCATCTGATTACTTCTAATTCTCAAAAATATCATATGTAGCCGCATTCCAACTATAAGCGTTGTTATTAATTATAATTTTCATAACTTTAAAAACATAAAAAATTAAATAAAAGCAGAATGTTAGTCGTGCAAACAATATATTTTAAAAATTAGACCCCAGATCTCAAATGTAAAATAAAATATGACTCAACAGAGATAAAGTATTTTTTAACTTCAATAAATGTTTTTGTTTACATATTTACATTTAAACAATGTTGAAATCTTTAAAAAAAATTTAAGCTGTCATAAAAATATAAATCTACAACAGCTCGATACAAACAATACTGTTTTATTTTTAAAACTATTTACTGAAAAACTAGAAAATATAAATAAAATTTTTTTTTTATTTTTTATAATTGTTTTTTATTTGTGCTTAAAAAAAAATCTTATTTTAAAAAAGGGAAAAAAATTCATATGTGCGACATTTGTTTTTCATTCCAAAATAATAATAAAATATATATATATATATAAGTAATCGTATATAGGTAATTTTTTTTTAAGGTTTCAGCAAGCAAACGCCAAAAAAAACTGTAATGCTTATAAAAAGTGATATAAATATTTTTAAAAATGCACTTTGCTATCGAACTTAATTAACTTAATTTAAAATTCAGTGACAGCATTAAAGAAAAATTGTTTTATAAAAGTACTATATACAGAAAATTATTAAAAATATATATTTTTTATTTAAAACATTTTCTCTTTTTATTAGTAACATAATTTCTATTTATTATATATATATATATATATATATATATATATATATATATATATTATATATATATATATATATATATATATATATATATATATATATAATGACTGTATTAAAACATACATAAAAACTTCTGTTTCATAAAACTAAAATGCTTTTATAGGTTCTTCGTTCTTTGTGGAAGCCATCTATCTTTGAGCCCCCCAATTACTGTTCCAGGAGTTCTTTGGTACTCTTTGATCATATTAGAAATAGCATCTGCACACTAATAAATTAATGGTGAAACCATGTAGAAAATTAAATCAACTATCAAAGAAACGAATTTTACATACATGATTTTAGAACTTACTAGGTCAGAAACTTCTTTAGGAGACATGTTAAGATCATAATCAATTTTAGGACCAAAGTATGTACTGAAAAAAACGATTAAAGTTTTTGACAAAAATTACATTTTACTTTTTACATAAATACTTTTACATAAAAATCTGAGAACAAGTTTTTAAGTATCATTGTAATAATTTTTGCATTATAGTATGTCACAATGTAAAAGTGGTAAATTGGTTGCTTCATTAGCAAAAAAGCCCAAGTTATATACACTGCCCGGCAAAAGTTTCTGGTCACTTATAGTTTTTGTAGTTTTTTAGTTATAATAACTTCAATTTTAAAACTGTTTTAAGTCATAAAATAATTCGATTAAGATATGATGTGTTAAATAAACTTGTAATAAATAATATTGAATTTTAAAATTGTTTATAAGCGATAAAATAATTCAATTAAGATGTGCTAATGTGTCTTTAATATTGTCTTGCAAAATCCATGTTTTTTTCGTATTAGTATTATAAACATGCTCGAACATACTTAGTAAACAATTTGTAAATAAAATCTAACTGTTCTTTTGTCATCAAAGCATAATTTTGTTGAATTTAATATAATATATTGGATTAATAAATAAATTTAGTAAATACTTTATATAGCTGAATTAAATTGGATATTATTTTTTAATTTCCAGTTTATAAATGTGCATTTTTTTTTTTTTTTTTGATTAAAATTTTAGAATAATATAAAATTTGACATTTTATATTATTTTTAATAATATAAAATGTCAAAGTAATTTATCACTAGAAACACGTTCTTTAGTTGTTGCTCTGGCAAATGATGGTCGTTCTACTAGATATATTCAAAAATTGTTGAAAATCAACAGTGAGTGATACTATTCGTCGGTTTAAATGTACTGGTACAAATAAAGATAGGAAACAAACTGGACATCCCTGTAAAACATTAAAAGCTGAAGACAAGTCAATTATACTCTCGTATAAACGAATTAGACAATTAACAGCCCAAGAAATAACATCTAACTTCAATGCTGCTCATAATAAAACTATATCAGAATTAACTGTAAGATGTCGCTTGAAAACTATTGGCTTACATGGTAGAATAGCTGTTCGAAAACCTCTTCTAAAAGGAATAAATCAGAGAAAAAGTTTTCAATGGGCTCTAACACATTCAAGTAGGACAGATATAGACTGGCAAAATGTATTGTGGACCAACGAATCTAAATTTCTTGTTTTTGGAACAAAGTGACGGATTTATGTGAGACAATCAGCAACTGAAAAATTTCAACCACAGTCTATACATCCTACTGTCAAACATGATGCAGGTTCAGTAATGGTTTGGGGCTGTTTTGCTTCTAATCAGGTTGGTAATCTTGTGAAAATAAATGGAATTCTCAATAAGAACAGATATCATAAGATATTATGTAGACATTCCGTGCCTTGTGGAAAGCATCTAATTGGCGGGTTCACCATACAACAGGATAATGACCCAAAACTCACATCTACATAATGTACAAACTATTTGCAAAATAGGAAAGTTGTGGAGATCTCAAAGTTATGACATGGTCCCCACAATCCCCTGATCTAAACCAAATGGAGTTACTCTGGGAACAACTGGATTGTGAGGTAAAAAAAGAGTGTCCTACATCAACAATTCATTTGTAATCAATTTTGCAACAAGTGTGGAATGATATTTCTCCAATTTATTTGGATAATTTAATCAAACATATGCCAAAACTTGTTTGTGCAGTAAAGAAAGCAAATGGTAAATTTTTTGATGAAAAAAATAAATAAACTTTTGATTGTGTTGTATTGCATAAACTTGTTTACTTTTATCATAGGTTTAAAGAAAATGATTTATTTGTAATTATATTTGGTTAATTGTAGTTAGTTAACTTGTTTATTATATATTTCTTTACAAAAAACAGAGTGATCAAAAACTTTTGCTGGCAGTGTATATATATATATATATATATATATATATATATATATATATATATATATATATATATACATAAGCCATCTGTTTTGGCTTCAAAACATGTTGACTGAAGGTTTGGGTAATATTCAACTATGAAGGTCATTTACTATACCCCAAAAATATTTATTTTTTCAAAATTAAAACGAATTTGTGCAATAGGTTATCAGTTTATTACATAATCTGGAGACAAAATAATAATTACATACGTCATTTTCACTGGAAAACCACCATAGTATAAAACTAAAGGTATTTTGGTAGTTTCATATACTTTCTGAAATATGCCTAAAATAATTAAAAAAATAAAATAAAAGAACTATTTCTTTTATTATTTACAAATAAAAAAATTATAAACACACCAATAATAAGCACACTAACCTTAAGGTACCTAAAGGTTAAAGACAAAATAAGAAAAAAAAATACAAAAATGGAGGAATCCTACAGGATAATTATGATAAGTAAACTTCAGAAGTTAGATGTTTGCAACATAATTTAGATTTGACATGGAGTGAGAATTGGGGTGGATTTTATTGTAAATAAAAAAAAGGGTTTGAACTGGGTGAAGTTTAGGTGTTTAATTAAACAGGATTTATTATGGGAGTACAGATAAGAAACCAAGTGAGCCAGAATTTGGAAATAAGCAAAGGAATGGAACAAGAATGCAAGCAACTACTAATTAAGTTAACAGAAGACAAAAAAAAGAAGTAATTAACAAAAAGCTTAAAAAATTGAAAATTGAATGAGTCTAGAAAAAATATTCATTAAAAAAAATATGGGAGAGAATTTAAAAGAACAGAAATTTGAGAAAGAAAACTAGACAAATGAAGGTTTTTTGAACATGAAGGACTGTTACAGTACAATAATGCAATTCCTCTGTATAATAAATATAAATACAATTTAAATTTTGAATTGTGTTCAAAAGTTAGAGGTCATTATTAAAAGAACTGGCCCAAATACAACAACAGTATTAAATACAAAAATAAATGAGAAACTTATAAAGGTAGAGAATGGGATAAGGAGGAAAAAATATCAGCCATCACAGAGAAAAGTCTACTTTAAGGTTTGTAGTTAAAAGTGAAATCTGTTGAGTGAATATGATGTAATCAAATTCACTCAACAGTAGTAAGTAGTAATCATACTGTAGCAGTACAAGATAAAAAGTTTTAGTGAATTGAACAAGGTAGGGTCAGAGACAAGGCACAAACCAAGAGGATTGTGTCTTGTCACTTATCTTCAATCATAGAATCATAGAGCATTGCCTCTACAAACCAAAAAAATAATAGCTATCAACACTAAGATCCAAAAAGTTGTAAAAATTTCAAATTACTCTTATAAAGAGCCGGATGAATTTTGTAAAATGTTTCAGCAAATGAAAATTTACTTTGATTATAAAAAATAATTGTAAAAGATTGAAACTATAGATAACAATGACACCCTAAGCAATAAGCTATACATGTTCCTCATTCCTGTTAAAAAAACTCAATCAAAATAAAGGGTTTCTAATATATCCTTGACAATAAACATAAGAAGCATTAACAGCGACACCTTTAATGTGCAACATAGCACTGTTAATACTGTGATACTTTAAATTCTTTAATGAAAACAGCCACTCTGAGAGCTACCACAGAGTTTGGAAAACCTTACTACCAGCTGGCCTCAGAATCATTAAACTGATTTTTAAAGATATAAACTTAACAGGAGACAACAAAAGCATTTGAATAACCATTACCAATAAGGTACAAGCTAAAAGCCATGAAAATATTCAAGAAAATCCAGCATTAATCATCCTGGCAGGATACAATGAGGTTTACACTTATGCCAGCTTTATAGATAAATTATTAATTTTTTAAAATTTATTTTAAAACTAATTTTCAAGTTGATTTTCACAAAATTTAACATCAAAACTAATTTAAATCAACACATTTAACTTTTTAGACACATAAATGTCATGAAAATTTACAATTGTTTCAATAAAAAAAAAAGTCATGAAAATTTACAATTGTTTCAATAAAATAAAATAAAAATTAATAATAATACAATCCTTGCTAAAAATATGTCAGTATAAAATAAAATTTAAAAAAACAACAAATTTTGCAAAAGCAATTATTACCATACCAATTCTTGATATGTAAACACCTCAAAACTTTTTGTGGACATGGCCTCATTATTTACAGTGTTCCAGATCGAGGTGGCTCTATTACATATTTATGGAGCCTTTAAGGGGGTAGAATCAATTTTTTGCTACAACGGAGTTTATATGTAAGATTTTTTATAGTGAAAAGATTTTTCAAGAATTCTGGATTTAGACAATCAATGGATTTAAAATTTCCATCATAAGAAATCTCAAATTTCTTAGATGGATTCTTGGACTGTTAACTGTTATCAAAATTTAACAATTCATCCACAGACAAATCAAATCTTTTATACATTATACTTAAATTAGAGGACTATAAGAAAAGTAAGACAAAATAAAAGGATTAAACAGCAAAATAGATTTATCACATTTATCACAATTTATTATTTTTACATGAATATGTTATGTCATGAATATGTATTTACATAAATATGTTGCAATATGAATTTTACTGTTTTTTAAACATATTTTTAAGTTGACTTTATTTTTATTTGCATGTACTGTAACGTAATCTTTTTTTTTTTTTTTTTTTTTTTTACAGGAATTAATTAACACAATTAATTTTAAACTATCCTTTGAGTCTCCGTTTCCTTTATTATTTTATTACAAAATTTAATTCTGTAATTTAATTCAATTTTTTTTTAATTATAATTGTATCAAGTTTAAAAAAAAAAAAGGATGCATGTGTGTGTGTGAGTATACTTATATGTTTTGTACATACCTGTTGATGTCTATATATAGGTGTTTATGGATGTCTATGCATGTGTGCATATGTATATATATGTGTGTGTATATTTATATGAATCACCAAGTATATAAATATTTATCTCACGATATAAAAAAAATCTTTTTAAGGCACAAACCCTGGAGAAGTTTATTAAAGAAGTTTTTAAAAAGGTATAGTCTATTTATGAGATGGAATTGTGAAATACCACTTGGGCTTGAATGCAGCCTACTAATTATAAGTTATCTGACAACAAATTTTTGAATTTTAAGAGTTATCTAGTTACGATTTGTAAAAATGATTGAGCCATTTGAACACTATATAAATTAGGAGAACTATGCATAATATTTATGGGAATTGGAAAACCCAACCAATTACTGAAATCTCTGCAACTACCAAAAGCACAAAGAAAAGTCCAAACAAATTACCACAAAACATCAAAACACCAAACCAGTTTAGTTCAATTTAAAATACTACTAAAATTACGGTTTTGAGTAAGGATCATGCTTCAATTTAAGCCAAAAATGAAGAAATAAAATTACAAGTTTTTATTATCATTTTTAACAATATATATTTGTTGGGGTTTTAGCTAATCTGACCAATATCAGTTTCAATAAAATCAGTAGTAATTATAAACATAAAGAAATTTATTTTTAAATTCTGTTTTAATGATAATGCCTATTTTCAAAGTAATGTTAATCTGTATATATTTAATGTTAATCTGCATATATTTAATGTTAATCTGTATATATTTCAGAAAAAGAGAACTTAAAGAACTTGTTTTAAAATGATATCAATTATCATATATAATCTACTTTATTAAATTTAGTTATTAACAATCATTTATTTATCACATTTAATTTAAACGGTTCTTGGTGACAAGATCTAATGGTCTTCTTCGAGTGTATGCATTTTTTGTTTTGTTTATTAAATAATGTTAACGTTTTACTCTTTTTAACAAATTTTCTACCTGTAATTTTATTTCTTGTATATATTTGATAATTTATATTTTACAATATTTATATATTGTAATAAAGAACAAAAAAAAAAAAAAAAAAAAAAAAAATTATTTTTATGTTCTAAAAAATAGAATAAAATTTTTAAAATATAAAAATAAAGTATTCTTAAATTCTCTATGGTTACCATCAAAAACTTCAAAACATCAAAAAGTTGAATATTTTTACTTAAATTGTTTTGCATTTTTAAAATAAATTTTAGCTAATGGCAACAAAAGGAAATGATAGATATAATTTTAAAAACATAAACAAAACTACTTTATACTGTTTATAACTGTTTTAACTAACTAAAAATTAAAAAAAATTAGAGAAACTGATACATAATATAATTGTTTCTCAAGACCTTGTTTGTCAGTGTTTTATTTCAAATCACTTACCTTGAACACATTTTACAACTTTAAAACTTTCTCTGCTGTTTGTTGTAAAAACAGGGATAATTGGCTAAAAAAAAATAGTTCAAAAAATTTTCTCAAACAAATTTAAATTTTATAAAGCTCGAGGAGCTTGCAACACTTAAATGTACAAACTAAAAAAATATAATATTGATTGTTCATATTCTAAACCACACTTATTACGACTAAAATTATGATAAATTTAATAAATTTCACTGCAAGATGTTTTAAATTTTCGGATAGAATTTTTAAAATTATATATTTACCACACGAGATGCTAAAGCAACTTTTGCAAAACCTTGTCTATTGTTCCATTTTAAATCATATTCATCAGTTGCAAATATAGCTTCTCTAACACCTCCAGGTAAAATTGCAAGTAAATGCCCCTTCTATAAAAGCAACAAAATTCATAAAATTTAAAAATCAACTTAAAAATAAATATATTGTAAAACAAGCAAAAAAAATTTTAAACAAATAATTTTTAAAAAATCAAATAGATTTAAAATTATTTTAAAATAATAACATTTTCCTACACGCAAAGTTCTCACACACTCTGTTGCTGGTCCTGTAAAACACCCAAATACTTCTAACAAATTTTTTAGTCCTATAAACACACACAAAAAAAATACAATTGAAATTGCCATGACTACAACACTGCTTCAATTTACACTTTATATTTTTTCAAACTAAAATGAAACATTAACAATAAAAAAAAAAAAATTTTAAATAAAAAACCTGGTAATCTGAATAAAAAATGATCAACAACAACTTTTAAACGCCTTCTTTTACTAAGTTGGAGCTTAGCTAGAATATAATACACATCTATGGGTAGAGTTCCATGATAAATACACAAAAGTGCAGGGCCTTTATCTGGAATATTTTCTAGTCCAACAACATCATGAGCTAAATCACAAACAATACAAGAAAACAATAAAAAAAACCTAGCGATTAACTTATATTATTTTAAACTTAACTTATATTATTTTAAACTTGATTAGAAAACCCTACCATGCCAATATTTTGCAAGAAGGTTTATAAATGTGCAAACAGACAGTCTAGCACTATTCCAAAAATGTTCAGACCAAACTTCTCTATCTTTGTAATGGCCTCTTCTTCTACTTTTGTGAGCATATAAAAAAACTGCTACTGCATAAAATAATATTAAAACAACTACAGGGATAAAAAACAATGTTATGATTCCAGTTAAAACATATGTATACCAGTCACCAACTATGCAAAGAAAAAATTCAAAAATTGCATTTAAATGCTGTGATTCCATCATTCTGTTTTTTTCTCAACTAAGCCAAAAATCCTATTAAAAAAAAAAATCTACAAAGATAAACCGCTATATACAAATTATATTGTATAAAAATATTTATAAAAATATTATTGTATAACACACAAAATAAAATTATATAATTAAATCTAAAATCTACAGCTTGTTTCATATTTTATAATTATGTAAAAAATGTCAATCAAGTATAAAAAAAAAAAGTTAAAATATTATTTTATGCCAAATATTATTTTGTTGATCAAATTTAATTAAAACAAACATAAATTGTTTTGTCTTATGCCACCCATCTTTTAAAATGCATATAGTAGATAAAAATGACTTAAAAACCGGTAACCTACAATTTGTCAATAATATAACATAAAATGAATTGTTATTGTTATCGTAAAAATAAATCTCAAGTGTTATGCAAACATACTAAACCACACACAGACTCCATACATTACATCAAACATATCAGTGTGTAAACATTATAATACATATATTTATTGAGAAAATATAAATTTTACTATTAAAAAAGTAATCTGTTGACATGAACTAACATGTCAAGGCATGTATAAGTTTTAAAAAATTAAAAAATTATTTATGTAAACTAAATTTAATAGAGACGTGAAGAAAACAAAAATTAGAAGTTTTAAATATTAAAGCAAAAAACTTTTGTAAAAATTATAACAGAAAAAACTGTTAATTTTTTTTGTTGCATAAAAATTAAATTACAATACTGTATTTATTTTTAATTAAAAAACAGAGTATATTAAATTATATTATATTGTAATAAATACCAACCATCTGTGATGAAGCCATAAAGAAACACAGTAAGACATCTTGGATATTGGTTTCCTCCAATATTGGTCCCACAACTGTTTGTTTTTACTAAAAGCTTTAGATAAAATACTAATAATTTAAAAAATTTACGTACACTCAATTTAAAATTTTGAGATTTATATAGAATTTTTGTGTACACTTAATAAAAATTATTATTACATAATATATTTATTTGTGTAATCTTTTTTCTAAAATGAGAAATTAAGGATAAATAAAAAAGATGGTTCAGGAAAAAATATATCTTAAAAATAATGACAATAAATCAAAATTAAAAATAGGTTGTCAAACAAAGTAGATAAATAGGAAATTACTTTTCTTTGCCATTGCAATAAAATCTAAGTAATAAATATAGGACTTAAACTTTAAGTTAAAGACGTTCACTAATTCATTTGTTGTTCTGGATAAAAATCTCAAATAATTTTTTTTAGTTTAATAACTTTACTTAACTTTAACTTTAGAAACTTGATTGTTTTATTTTACATTATTAACCCTATTATAAATGTAGTGTAACTATTAGTTACAATTGTAATGCATTTAAAAGAAATAATTAAATGCAAAAATACCATTTAAAATGGTTAAACCATCATTATTTAATCATTTCAAATGGTATTTTTCATTATAATGTCTTTTAAAAAATAAAGCATAATAAAAAAACTTTTTATTAGGCTTTAAAATATCTTTTAAAAAATACTTTATTTAAAAATAAATAACTATTATTATTTTTAACTTGATTTAATGAAGAGAAGCCTAAAAGTCTAATTTTTAAATACAAACCTTTGCCTATGAAATTAAAAAAAAAAATTAATGAAAATCTTTCTAATGAAATCATAAAAATATATTTGTTCCGGTGGAAAATTATTTATATCCCGGTTATGAACAACTCAAAATGACAAAATAGAAAAATGTTTCTATTTAAATATATATATATATATATATATATATATATATATATATATATATATATATATATATATATATATATTTATATATCAGTGCCGGATTAAAGGGGGGAGGGGGGGTGCTAGGGACTATAGCCCCAGGCCCCGCAAATTTAGGAGCCCCCAAAAATTTTAGAGGACCTTTTTTTTTTTTTTTTTCAAGTCATTTTTAGGCTCTGGCCCATAAAAAGGCCTACAAAAATAAAAATAGCCCCGGGCCCCAAAAAGTCTTAATCCGCCACTGATATATATATATATATATATATATATATATATATATATATATATATATATATATATATATATATATATATATATATATATATATATCAGGGGCGGATCCAAACAATCAAAAAGGGGGGAGGGGCGCGTTTTCGATTTTTTGATTCTTTGGATCCAGACCATTTAGTAAGAAAATTTAGAAAAAGGGTTTATGATTTATGAGCAGGCAAGCCCAAAGAGGATAAAAAATTTTAAGTTAATTTTTTTAGAATCTTGGTCTTACACAGTGCTGGATTAAGGATATGATAAATTTAAATATGAATAAATAAAATAATAATAATAATAATATATATATATATATACATATATATATATATATATATATATATATATATATATATATATATATATATATATATATATATATATATATATATATATATATATATATATATATATATATATATATATATATATATATATATATATATATATATATATATATATATATATATATATATATATAGATCTTATTTGTTCGACTTAAAAAATCCAGAATAATTGTTTAAATTCAGGATCCGATTTTTTAACTTAATTTTAAATACGAGTTTGTTGTATAAATAGAGGCTACGATACAAAACAGTGAACTGGGAGAGTTTTGTGTTTTCGAATGGTGTAATTAAGTTTCCTGTTTTCCTTTTGTAATATTTATTATTATTGTTTAAAAAAAGTTATTTACAAAATTGTATAGTGCTTGATCTAGTTTGTATTTTTACATAAAAAATAGGGTTATGACTAAAATTTTTTTCAAAATTTTGTATCTCCTGTGGTCGCAAACAATGAAGTTTTGTGCACAAAAGATCTAACGGTATAGCGGGTGTTTTATTTTACCAAAAGTCGTCAAGTGTTTGGTGCGGGAACTTTTTTTTGAATTAAACGAAATTTTCTTAATCAGAATTATAATATTCATTGATTCCTACAACAGACCAACTACAACAGACCAAAAAAAATTTTTTTTTTGGTCTGTTGTAGGAATTCAGTTAAAAATTAGTTTGAAGGCGGAATTATTAAAATGAATAATAGTGAAAAGTACAAAATTATTTACCAACAAGTAGCAAAAGCTTTGCCACAAAAAAGTAAACAGGAGCAACAGAAAGAAGCTAATAAATTGTGGTATAAAGTTAAGCATAAAGAATTGACGTATGATTCAGTTTTAAAAGAACTCACACGAAAAACAATGGAAAGTAAAAGTCAGTTGATGTCTTTTTGGTCTAATGTTAACATCAAATAATCAATCTATTGCAGTAAAGCTTCCTCTCACAAACGAAATATCAGATGAGGGACCAGAAGCTTTGTTAACATCCGATGAAGCAGACAAAATAGATTTTGAAATCAATAAAACACTAGCTACTTCTTCTAAATTTGATATTCAAAAAAGTCAAAAATCACAAACGGAAGTACCAATTGATCAGCCGACAAAATCTCATACTCCACAACAAGAGAAAATTCAAACTGAAATTTTGCAGTTAAAAGAGCAGCTGTTAACATTGGTAAATGTGCGCCGTGCAGGATTGACAACTGACGAACTTAAAACAAAATCGATCTTTATAGAAAAGCAAATAAAAATAAAACAAAACCGTCTTAAAAAAATGAAACGCGAGGCAATCCGTCAAAGACAACGCAGAGCAAGTTTGAAACGAACACTTAATGATATTGTCGATGACACGCCCTACTTAAAATCAAAACTTTCTAAATTCAATAGAGAAAAAAATTGTAGACCAGCTGTAATTGAAAATCAGCCAGATCTTCTTAATGCCATCGTTAACATCGAATCAATAGGAGCCGCTAGCGATCGACGAAGATCGCAGGAGTTACATTCATGTAAGACACTTGATGACTTAAATAAAAGCCTACTAAAACTGGGTTATTGTTTATCGCGATCTGCAACTTATTTAAGACTGATGCCTAAGCGATCAAACACACTTGAGGGATTACGTCACATTAAGACAGTTTCTGTGAAATTGATCCGGACTGTTAATACAGCTCGTGTTAGGCATATCGATGCTGGATTTACATTTGCGTGCATGCAATACATGGATAAAGTTTGTTCAATATTTGGTCCAGATTCATGCTTTTATTTAAGTCTAGACGACAAAGCTAAAGTACCATTAGGATTAGCAGCTGCAACAAAACAATCACCAATTTTGATGCATCTTGATTATCAAGTACGTTTGCCAGATCATGATTTTTAGTCGCTTCCAGACATAAGCTTATACCGTCTGTTTATGCAGCTTGTATTATTGATCCAAACAAATTTGCTGACGCAGTGTCATATTCTGGCCCAACGTATATTGCTATCAGATCTATGAAGCATGATAGCAGCACTGTATTTACTCATGGCCATGATTTGGAGCGTCTTGTTTCAATTGAAAATTTTAATCTTCATATTTGTACTCCAGAAGGTCAGGTAAAATCTATATTTGTTGTTGCATGTGATGGAGGCCCTGATAAAAATCCAAGGTTTCCCAAACCATTGCAAGTTGCAATTGCAAGATTTATAAAATGGGATTTGGATGTCTATCTAACAGGAACTCATGCACCTCATTATTCAGCATATAACAGGGTTGAACGGCGTATGGCTCCGCTGAGTCAAGAGTTAGCAGGATTGGTTTTGCCACATGACTATTTTGGGACACACCTAAATGCATCTTGAAAAACAATTGACGTTAATTTAGAAAAAATTTTTTTTGCTAAAGCTGCAGAAGCTCTAGCTGAGGTATGGTCGGATATAGTAATTGATAACTATTCTGTTTGTGCTAAATATGTTGAACCTTCCCAACTGTCACCAATACCAGAGCAAGATTCAAAATGGATTGAAAATCACGTAAGACAAAGTCAATATTTTTTAATGATCGTTAAGTGTGATGTTCCGAATTGCTGTAAACCTTGGCGAAGTTGCTGGAAAAAATATTTTTCACAACGTTTTTTACCAGGTCCAGTTGTAATGTCTCATGCTGCTGAAGGAATTTTTATTCCTGAGCCAAAGGTAGCACGAAATATTCCTTAAACTTACTTTTCTTCTCTAGCGCAGCGCTTGGGATATATAGGTTCAAAAATTTCGATGGAAGCTTCCTTTGATTTGTACTGCCCATCAATTTCACAACAAAAAATTGATCAAAGAACTTGCAAATTCTGCAAAATTTATCATGCTTTTAAAGCAAGTGTTAAACGCCACAAATGCGTGTTTAGAAACATAATCAACACGACCTCTGAGGAAAATAAAAATGACGATGAAAACAATGATACTCATTTAACAGTAAATGAAAGTAATTCTGATCAAATTCATGTCATCGAAAACATATTTGATTGGGTAAAATCACCCTTTGATTTAGATCACCAACAATTTAAATTAGTTGATTAATGAAGACTATATTAATAATTTTGTTTATAAAATATTAAAACGATGTTTTAAAACCTATAAAGATAACAGTTTTTGTTTTAAATTGTGATTACTTAAAAAATTTTTATCACCCTGCCCTTAACCACAACCTAATCTTTAAAGGTACCGTAAGATTGGGTGGCTTTAGCCCATTTTGCATCTTAATGTCTATTGCATGAAAGCCACAAAAGTTATTTCCTCAAACACTAGGTATTTTTAGAAGTGCATAGAAAGGGCAGTTAGAACTGTCTGTCTCCCATTTGAAAATTATTTACTTGAAGTATCTTTTGGGTGGTTTAAATGGTGGGCCAAAGTCGCCCTATGTGTTAGGGTGACTTTGGCCCAACCCTGTAAAAAGGAACTAAAGGAAGCAAAACAACAATAAAAACAACAATATTTAGGCAAAGAAAATAAATTTACAAAAATAAAGTGACAAAAAAAGATTTAGTAACAAAGTTCTTGTATACAGTAAATAAAATATAGGTACAAATTAAACAAGTATAGGTACCAAGTAAACAAAACAGTTTAGGTATAAAGTAAACAAAAATGACAAAAATAATGTTTTAAAAAATTTAGTGAAAAAGTTCTGGAACTGAATTATTTCCTTATTTCGAAATTTTCTTTGGTTCCTCAATAAAATCGACTATTTCAGACTGGTGGAAAAAAAGTTGCTGTGCTGGTAGTGACCATTTCCAGTTAAGTCCATTTTTTTTCATAATAGTAATTTCTGCTCCATTTTTTCTTAATTTTTTCAACTGCTGAAAAAAAATTTTTGAAAGTTTTTTTAAAATTTTTCAGTAGTTTCATTAAATAATATTAGTTATTAAATTAATTAGTTATAAAGTTTACTAATTGATTAGCTAAATATAAATAACTCAAAATAAATGAACAAATCTGTCCAGGATTTAACTCTCCATTGCATTTAACAATTACATAACAATTCTCTACAAGATTTAATAATTTCTCCTTTTTATAAACATTTTTTGTTTTATCAATATTTTAAAATTTCTTTTTGCCTAATGCTGAATGATCTAAAGATTCTGTATGACTTTCTACAACTAAACTTACATCTGCAAAAATTAGATTAGAAGTCTCAGTAGTTCCAGTATCTGTACTTGGGCCAGCAAAATCAATGTTGTTGGTCTCAATTGTATTTATAATACTGATAGGTGTATCTACATTATTTGAATTTAATCTGTTATTTTCATTTATAACACACGATGATATATCTGTTAAACATAAGCTTTTACCTGGGACAGCATATACTTTACGTCGCTTTGCTTTTTTAAAACCATCTGAGGGATCATCCAGTGACTTACATAAATGATCTAAAAATGATTGGCTAACTAAATCAGTAGTTGAGCCTAAACCTACATTACAACATGGTAGTCGTGAAAGCACTTGAGACTTGTCTAATGGAAAAATTCCAGTTTTGCGAAAACCAGCTCTAAGGTTATCATTCCCATGTTCATTTAAGTTGGTAATTAAATGGTCTAAAAGAGAAGCAACTCTCTTTTAGACCATTTAACTACCAACTTAATGGTCTAAAAAAATAAAATGGTCTTTAGGAAGAGAAGCAACTCTCCTTCCTTTTCCTTTCTCCTTCCATTCACATAATATTTTGTGCCAGTTAATCTCCATAGGTCTAAAGTAGGCAACATCTAATGGCTGCGTGAGAAGTGTAGAGTTTGCTAGTAATGCCACAAATCCTATGTTATTGTTTTGACATGCATCCAGTACTGCAATGCTCAAATGTGAAGATACGTTATCACTTATATTGACACTTCTTCCTTGAGCCTTCTTAAGTCTTGGAAGAAGTAAAGAGAAAAACCAGTCCTCAAAATATGTTGAGTCAAACTAACCACTTTTTGATCTGTTATAACGTGTTTTTGGTAGCCCATGTTCCATCCATGTATTCCATAACGACTCAGCTTTGTAAACAACATAAGGTGGAAGCAATTCACCATTAGCATTGGTGCAAAACATTACAGAGAATGAGGTCTTTGTAGAATTAATGATGCATTTAGGATACTTACATCCACGCTTTGTTAATATTTTTTTTTACCTGGATTATCACTGAGATTGGTTTCATCATAGTTCCATATATTATCAGGTGATATATTACTTATTTGATAGATTTATAAAGTAGTTAGTAATCACAGTCGTTCCTATTTCCCTTTATGTTGCTTGCAAATCTTACTGTGAGTTCTGGATTTCTTTTTAAAAAAGATCGAATCCAATCACCATCTGGAAAATTATTTTTGAACTGAGGTATAATGATGCCTTTTTTCTCTAAATACCCTTTTACTATGCATCTTAAATCATATTTATCAACAGGAAAACCAAACTCGGATGATTTTATTGCATATGCCTTAAACATGTCTTCTTCTTTTGATGTAAATATTTGCTGACCACCGTACTTTTTAAGATATGTCTGTTTTATTTTATTTTTTAATGTTAATCTTGGTATATCGTATTTCAAAGCTGCTTGTCTTTGAGTAATTAAACCATTCTTTAAATCTTTTAATGCATTGTCTAACTGATCTAAAGTGTAAGCAACGTATTTTCTTTTTCCACGATTTGTCTGGTAATTTTGTGGCATATTTAAACTAAGAACTAAACAAATTTTACTATAATTTTACTCTAATACATGGGGTGACTTTAGCCCGGGCCAATGTCACCCTATGTAGTGGGCCAAAGACAACCTATTTTTTTTTAACCTTAATTACAAAAAAGGAATAAACTTTTAAGCTTTCAAAACAAGATAGAATCAAACACTAATGGTTTAAAATTAATTCAGTGTATATTCCAATAAAAAACCTTCTGCAGGTATTGCTATTGATGTAAAAGTTTACACACCTAAAAAAATTCGGATTTTAGTTGTTTCTTCTAAAGTGCTATTTACAATAATATCACAAAGACTCGACTTAAGTATACTAAGTTAAACTAAATAAATAATAAATTTCCCACAATTTGCTACTAAACATCAACTGGCATACCTTAAGGTATCGATTTTAAACCATTTTTAAACAAAAATTTTGCTTGGGCTAAAGTAGGGCCAAAGCCACCCAATCTTACGGTACCAAACAAACATTCTCGCCAGTTTGTTGATTTTAAAGGTTTCCTGTTTGCCAGCAAAAGCGCTTAAAGATCAACTACACAAATCTTTCAACAAGACTTTTTTGTTTTATTTTTTGTTATTGATCTTTTAAACGATTGAAAAGTAATACATTTCACTGTCACCTTGATGTTCAGAGTTAAAAATTTCCAAACACTAAATTGATTGCTTGCATTTTTTTAGCCGAAATACTTTTCAAAAATTTATAATTTCCAGTTCTCTCAAGCTTCTTAGTTTATTATATTTATCAAAAAAATTACCCTATATAAAAGGATGCAATTTTGTTACGTAACATTTTTTATAATCAAGAAATAATAACTATGTTCTCATACACAAAGAATTTTTGTATTTATATAAGATTGAGTAGCGTTGCCAGATTTTTTTTGCGCTAAAATGCCAAATGCTTGTCTAAAAAATGCCAAATAATGCCAAATTTTTATTAATAATGCCAAAAAAAATGCCAACTTTTAAAATAGCAGAAAAACTTTATAAAAAAACATTGAACCTTATTTATTAACTATATATTCAATAAAACTATTTTAAAAGTCATATATTAATCAGTTTTAACATATTTTTTATATATTTTTCAATAAAAAAACGACGTTTAACATTTATGTATTTATTAAATAGATAAGTATGTTCACTCAACTTTCAAATAAATATAAATCTAAAGTTAAAAAATATGAGTTAAAGAAAATTTCAAATTCTGTTAAAAGAATTATAAAAAATGTCTCAATATCAAACTTCCTTTAGTTTAAATCATCAATTAGAGTGAGATCATCTTCGACTAATTCATCATCGTCAGAATACATGTCCGTTCCCAATTTAGTTAACATTTTGTCACTGATTTTAAAGTCTTTACAACATTTGTTGCGGCTAGCAAGGTAGGCTTTTACTCGCACTACACTGCTGAGCAATTTGTCTGACATTCTGTTTCTTGGTTTGTTTAAGGTGACCTGAGAAAAAATACGTTCCACAAAAGCGTTTGATATAGGGAAAACAAGACAAGTTAGGCAATAGTCTGCTAGTTCCTTAAATGCTGCATCTCCTGATGTATTTTTGTAGTGGCGAACTGCAGTCCAGAACTCAGTTGTATCTTTTGCTATACAAGAATTTTCAAACAGCTCCGTAGAAGACCAGTCAACCAAACTTACTTTTCTGTACTGATCTTCAATGTTTTGCGCTTTATCCTTCATAATATGCCTTAAAGGCAGATGAGTGAATGGCATTTTAGAACTTTGATGCAGAACCTTTGATGGTGAGAGATAAGATAGACCTTGAAAAATTTCTTTGTTTTCAGGTAGACGTTGATCAAGCTCTTTCAAAAGACGCAAAAGAAATTGAAGACAACGTGTTAGAACACTTTCAATGTTTTTTCTGGCTATTTCTTTTTGGGTTTGAGGATAAGTATCAATATATTTTTGGCAATTTGATAAAAACTTTGCCCCAAAGTCAACACGTTTTAGAGGCAGTTGAACTCCTTGGTTGTCAAGAACACGCTGTTGTAGACTTTTGTAGTGTAGGTTTAGCTCTGAAACTAGCTTCTCAGGATCCACATTAGTGCTTTGAAAAAGAGCATTCAAACGCTCAAATTCTTGAACAATTGGTGTCAAAAAGACGACATAAAGATAGAGAGTTTCATCTTTGAACATGTTGTTAATTGTTGTAACTCTATACCTAATGCAAGCAGGAGCTTGAGCTTCAGTACATAAGAAATAGGCTTTTAATTCGTACCAATTCACCATCAAATTGTAAAGACATTTCCCTCTGACGAGCCATCGAGTAGCTGAATACTTTTGAAATGGTGATGGAGTTCCCATCCTTTCATTGCTTGGATCCATTGTCTGAAAAAGTACTTTAAACTCTTCTCGTCGAATGGAACTTTTTGAAAAAAATGAAGGAATTTCACTGAGCAGAAAGCCAACACTTGATGGCATTAATTCAAAGGAATGTTGAACAATGAGGTTCAAGGAGTGGCATGTACAGCGCATTAAAATACAATTAGGAGAGACTGCCCGAACACGAGACCAAACCGAATTGTGAAATCCAATGACATTTGAAGCTCCGTCTGAGCTATACCCAATGCAGTTTTTTAAAGACAATTCAACAGACGTCAACTTTGTTTCCAAAACAGCAAAAAGATCTGCACCAGTGGTTAATATCACAGCAGCTAAACCAAGAAAGTCATCGATAACTGATTTCTGTTCATCTGAATAGTATCGAGCACAAATGCAAAGATGTTTTGTCAAAGAAACATCAGTTGATTCATCAATCAGGATGGAAAAAGGTTTATCTGCCATTGATTCAGAAATTTCTGATTCAATTGATGAAGAAATTACATTTTTAATAATTTGGGTACATTTGGTTCGATGCAGACGAAGGTTTTCAAGGGGACTATTTTTTCCATAAAGAGAAATGATTTCTCCAAGGTGATTTATTGTTGAAATGGGTGCATGACAACACACGCAAAGAGCAAGATGAATATCTGCTTCACAGTCTGCTTTCTTTGATACTAAAGGAAACGTAATCTGGCTTTTTGTGTTAAGATGCTTTTCTCTTGAAGCATGTCTAAACCACTGTGCTGTTCTATAGACGGTACCACTGTGCTGTTCTACAGACGATTTCCGTGGTTGTATAGTCACACGACAAAGGGTACAGAATGCTGATTCAGTACCATCAGAGCTTTTTTTAAGCCAAGGATAATCCGCTTCCCATTTTTCAAGGTACTTTCTTGAATTTACCCTCGACATTGTGCTTAATGTTCTAATACAAATTAAATACAAACCAACTGAAAAAAAAATCAATTCAACAGTTTTTTTAAAAATGCCAAAAAAATGCCAAAATGCCAAAATAATGCCAAAATGCCAAAAAATGCCAACATGTTAAAATAATGCCAATTTTACTAAATTTAGCATTAAAAAATGCCAGTTGGCAACACTGAGATTGAGCAGAAAAGTGTTTTCCTCGCAGTAGTTATTCTCCTACTTTAATTGCAATATACAACCTAGGTGGAGGGTATGTAAAAAACTGTGACATTAAAATTTTGAAAGAAAGTTTCCAGGCTGGAGATAAAAACAATTGTTTTGACCATCGCAAGCAAATCATTAAAACTTTCTCTATTCCTAAATAACTAATAAACGTAACCAAGTATGTGAGTTGTTACAATTATAAAACACATCAAACGATAACTATGAGGTGCCAAATAAACGTGCCTGCTCGTTTATTTGGGTTAAATGTTGTGGATTATTATACTAAAAACCCACAACATTTTTACCAAGCCCATTAAAACTTATTACGTTTTTATTGTTAAATTTAAACTTCTTTTACTAATTTTAAGGTTCCTTCAGTAAAAAGAACTTTAAAGTTTCCAAAAAAAAATTGTAATTAGATCTTTTTTAAGGGCAAGTATACTTCCCTCCCTCCCCAACTGACATTTCAAAGTCACGGTCATGGTTTTATTATTTAAAAAAAATTATTTATTTATTATTATATTCTTTAATAAATATTATTTAATAAACATCTAGTTATTTATTAAAAAACATCTAGTTATAGTTAAGTATTTGTTAGTGCTGATAAGTTAGAAATACAAGCATTAACTAAGAAAAAATACTTTTTTTAATTAGTGCGTACCTACTTTTATATTCAACCCTCCCCCCTATGAGCGTACGTACTTTATGGACGACCCCTTACTGGTAAATTAAATATAAAGTGTGTTTTTAACATTAATGTAAAACTTTTAACTTTGTTAAAAGTTGTTGTCAAATGCGTACTTGTCCAAGCTCTATTTGCGTTTATGAGGTAGCTATGCGTAAAAGAAAAATATATAAGTTTTAAATTTAAGCAAGAGTAAAATTATATTTTTTATTTTTAACAAGGATTGAATTTGAAGATTTCATTGAAATAAATACCATTTTGTTTTTTCTATAACCCCTGACGACTTATTTTATTTAAACCATAACATTTGTTAATGTACCTACAATAATTTGTTGATGTATCTAAAATACTTTGTAGATATACCCATAATACATTGTTAATGTACCTATAATACTTTGTTAATGTATCTACAATACTTTATTGATGTATCTACAATACTTTTGCTGATGTAACAACAATACATTTAATTTGTATGGTTTTTATTAGGTTTTCAGTATATATATATGTATATATATATATATATATATATATATATATATATATATATATATATATATATATATATATATATATATATATATATATATATATATATATATATATATATATATATATATATTATTCAGATAAAGCAACAGATTAGCTCTTTGTCTAACTTTTTTCTATATGGATAATTTACAACCCATAATTACAAAGTAGGTTTAACAAAGTAAAACGGTAATTTATTTATTGAATAGTTCCTATAGTAAAATGCCTCAGTTCCAGTTTTTTTTTTTTTTTTTATTTTTATTTTAATTCACCTCCTCAAGGCCGAGAAGGCCACTACAGACGAGGAGGCTACTTATTTGTGGTTATAACCCTCTCTCAACTCTATAACTCCGAAACACGAACCTTGACGAGCAAGGCCGCTGCGCGGAGAAACGAGTTGAGCGCGGTACTACCAGGGACGTGGTGGGGATCGAACTCGGAACCACTCGTTTATGAAGCGAGCGCTCTACCACTACACCACTACCGCTTTTAAGTTTTAAGTTGTCAAACGTTCAGCAACAGTGGAACAGTGATAGACTAATAAATTGTTATTTTTGTAGTGTTTAATAGTTTGACTTTTTTTCATTAGTGTTAGTGTTAAGTTAGTGTTACAAACTTGTTTTAATATTAATACATCATAAAATACCAATTTATAAGATTTTATAAGTGTAATTCATATTTTTATATAGTTATAAGATGAAAAATATTGATATTTGTTCATATATAATTCAAGAAAATTTGAAGTTAGCTAATCCTAATATTTTAGATGCAGTTGTAAATGGCATGAACTTAACTGCAAATAATAAATTGTATAATTTTATAAAGCATCTTTGACAAAGGTAGCATATATGCAAAAGCTATAAAATTAGCTTTAAAGAGAATAACAAACAATGGCTACAAAATGAACCAATATTGGTTCAATTTGTAATTGATAATAAGAATATTCTACTAACTTCCACCATTGATAAAGATCTTATCCAACTGTAGCATCTGGCAGACCCCAGGTAAACTTTGATAGTTCAAGTAGTAAAACAAAGGAAAGAATATTTGCGCCAAAACTGTTGTTTGCATCAGGTCGGGGGTCGTCCATAGAGTACGTACAATTTTTTTTCAACACTCCCCCCCCCCCCGAAATTTGCTATACCTTTTTTTATCTCCACCTCCCTAAAAGTACTTACGTTTTTAACCTACCTACCCAACACTTGATATATATGAGTTTTGGTTTGAAAAATAATTTAAATTAAAACTTTTATATTATACAATATTTCTATTTTAATTTAGAGCCTCCTTACTTTTATAATGGACCCTCTGCCCTCATTTACATTATTTACACATACCCTCTTCCCTATGTACGTACTTTATGGACAATCCCTTGTGGTTTTCGCCAAGATGGTAAAGAAAAAGAAACTAAAACTGTTTTACATTTATTATAATATATGAGTTTTGGTTTGAAAAATAATTGAAATTAAAACTTTTATATTATAATATACAAATAAATTTTAAGTTTTAGGTTCTTTTTTATATGGGTTATGTAGTAGTTTCATAAAATATGAAACAAATAGAGCTGCATAAAACACGTAAAATTTGTAATTGATAATGTGTTCAAATTTTTATATGTGATTTAAATAAAATAAAATAATTTTCAAACAGACTGCCACATTAATATTAGTTTAGCTTATAACTTTGATGTTTTAAGAAACTTAAGCTTCCATCAAATCAACCATTGCTAGGCATTTCAGGTGTCACTATTAACCAAAAAAAAAATCCATTTGTAATATAAAAAATACTCAATGTGGTAATTATGGGAGTAACCCAATAAAGTTATTATTTTTTTCCAGTTTATATTCTGATAATATGAATACGCTAATTTAATATTATTACAGTCAACTCTCCTATAACGCGATGAATTCGTACCGCTTTGTATGGGAACCGTGTATAAGAGCTTGATTTGGCAGATGCATTTTTTGAAGACCACGTTATGAGGAACACACAAATTATCAAAATATATATTTTTTAATATATAACCTTAATCGCGTTATATGGAAATCTCTGTCGTGTTATATAGAAACTGCGTTATAAGAAACATAGAAGTAATATAAATTGAATCGATTTGTACCGCGTTGTATAGAATCCTAGAAATAAATAATTTGTTTTTGTTTTTTTTAGGAATAAATAAATTATGCACAAATAAATTTACTTTAGTCTAATTTTATTGTATATGGTAAGTTATTTAAATTAGAAATTAAAAACTGAACTTAAAAAAAAATTGTTTCCAACAAAAAACTAAAATGATGCATTGTAAATTCTGTTCTTATTCGTCATCGCTGTCAAATATTAGATGTCCAATCCGTCTTCTTTTCTTTCCTCTAATTAGTTGATAATCCTCTTCACTTTGAAAATTTTATCCTTGGTTTTCAAAAGTAGCTTTATTTTGTAGTTCTTTCAAAACCTCTTTGTATGGAGCTAAGCAATTTTGAAATTCTCTTTTAAATTTTTCACTGCGTATTGTTGAAGGATCATTTTGGGTCAACTGGAATTCTAATTCTTTAACCAAATTGAGCCCTTTTTTTAAATCATAAGTGAAGTTTAAAGCAGATTTGTTATTAGTGTCTTCTTCCACAAATGTTTCAGATGTAGACTCATCAATTAACTCTGCTAATTCTTCTTCACTTAAACTTCGTTCTTGAAGTAGTTGTTCTATATCTTGCACTTGTATATCTGCAAATCCTTTCTTGCCAAAACTAGAAACAATCTGTGTTATTTCTTTTACTGTCTCTGAGATATTATCTTCTTTTTTAACTATTGAGGTAACACAGTCTTCTAACCATGTCATTAATGCTCGTTCCATTTTTATCATAATAGCATTACGTATACGAGTTGCACGCTTCGCACCTGATGGGCAACTATTTGCGACAGTTTTTCTTATTTTTTCTTCATTTTTCTTTAAAGTCCGAATTGTAGATTCATTCAAATTTAACGATTTCGCAACAGAAAACACTTTCTCTCCATTCTTTAATCGATCTAAAATTGCAGTTTTCTCCATAAGAGTTATAGATTTTCTTTTCATATATTTTCTCCCTTTGATTATTTTAGTCATTTTACTAACCTATAAAAAATTTTTTTTTACCTGAATACTGTAGAAAATAAAATATTTTACCAGTGTATTTATATAATCTCCAGTAACTTAATTTTAATAAGACAAAACAATTTATAATAAATTCTAAGACAAAACAATTTATTATAAATTCTGTCACTTAACACATTTAAGCACAAACCAAATTAAAAGGAATAGTTTTTTAATTGTTTAATACGTAATTCAAATTAAGAAAAAGGGAAATACCCTCTAAATGCATACAGGCAAAACGTCAAATAAGTATAGATTTTTTTCAAGTCATTTAATTTGTTGTCAGTTGTTGTTTTTTTTCGCATAAATAACGTGTTAGAAAATTCTTACGAAAATCGCGTTATATGGAGATCATATCGCGTTATAGGTGAGCGGTTCCAACTTTCACTCCGCGCTGTATGGAGATTCGCGTTGTAGAAATACCGCGTAATAGGAGAGTTGACT